CCCCCCCCCCCCCCCCCCAGGCCGACCACCTCCAACGCCCGCTAGAACTACTGGCGCGTGGTTAACGTGGAATTGGGGAGTGTTGGCGGCAACAGGCTTCCTAGCAGTGCACGTGGCCGATGGTGCCCACAATTGTTGTCGCACATGCCCTCCTCATCCTGGTCTGGTCTTCCATCAATTCAGTGGCTCGATTGTAGCGACAGCAGCTGCAGTAGCCCAACGCGCCTCACCCTTGCGGGAACCCCCCGAGACTGGCGGCTAGCCAGGCAGGGCACGGCATTGCCTTTATATGCCATGCAGTGTGCCCACAAGCCAGGCTCCGTGAACTGTTCGCCGCCCCCGCGGGGCCCTGCCGCCAGGGTTGCCTCGCCGCCCCCGCCCCCGCCCCCACCGCTAAGCCCTGGGCGCCAGCCCGTTAGTTCAGGATGCGCTTGCGCAGGCACTCTGCTGTGCTGTGCTCCAAGTGCATTAGGGCTCCCTCCTCTCCGTAATGCAGGTGTGCAGCACCTACCGGCGGTGATTACTAGCAGCATTGGTGTTACTGCAGAATCACCATGGCGAGGGATGGTAACATTCCGGGCTTGGTGCGCACTTTAGAAAACAGCAGAAGCAATGAAGCGCTGGAGCAGGCAGCATGGGCAGTGGCCAACCTAGCAGCTAGGCCGCGGCTAAGAAAGGCCTTCTTTGAAGGCGCTGGAGCTAGTGTCTAAACCCTCCGAGAGGGCACAGGTTCGATTCCTCCCATGTCGAAACTTTGTGAGGACAAGCGCGGCATAGCTGACCGGCTCAGCGCCAATCCAAGCCAATTCCTTCGGGAACGCCTAATAGAATCGCCAAGGCTTCGGCACAGGCCTCCCCGGGACCCATTCACTACTAGTGGGGGGTACTGCACTTGGCGCGTCGGGCAGATCAAATAATGGTCTAAAGCTAGACGTTAAAACCGGGAAGTTAAGCCTGTGGAGGCTCTTCCCCACCTTTACCTTTTGCAGCTGACAGCGCGGCCAACAAGGCCAGTATTGAGAGAGAGGGCGGCATTGCTCCCCTGGTGCGGCTGCTGCGGTCCAGCACCAGCGATGCAGTACTGGCAGCAGCAGCACGGGCCAACTTGGCAGCTGACAGCCCAGCCAACAAGGCGGACATTAAAGCAGCAGGCGGCATTCCAGGCCTGGTTCGGCTGCTGCAGTCAAGCACGAGCGATGCAGTGCTTTCGCCCGGTTCCCGTCCCGTTTCGGCGGGGAGTCTATGTTGCAAGCTAGTTCTTGCTTTACCAGACTTTAAGCCCACACAAGCAAGCAAGCAAGCAAGCAGATGGCAGCATTTGCGCTGTGCAACCTGGCAGCTGACAGCCCCTCCAGCACAGATGCTATATATTGCAGCAGCGGGCGGCATCCCACCAGCTGGTGCGGCTGCTGCGCTCCAACACCAGCGGTGTTGGGCTTGGGATTATGGCAGGGGCGCTGTGCATCCTGGCTGCTGATCGCCCCTCTCACGAGGAGGCCGTTGCTGCAGCGACACTGCCATCAGCGCCGCCCATGCCATCAACGGACTTGCAGCGGCTAAGAAAGGCCTTCTTTGAAGGCGCTGGAGCTAGTGTCTAAACCCTCCGAGAGGGCACAGGTTCGATTCCTCCCATGTCGAAACTTTGTGAGGACAAACGCGGCATAGCTGACCGGCTCAGCGCCAATCCAAGCCAATTCCTTCGGGAACGCCTAATAGAATCGCCAAGGCTTCGGCACAGGCCTCCCCGGGACCCATTCACTACTAGTGGGGGGTACTGCACTTGGCGCGTCGGGCAGATCAAATAATGGTCTAAAGCTAGACGTTAAAACCGGGAAGTGAAGCTTGTGGAGGCTCTTCCCCACCTTTACCTTTACCTAGCCAAGGCGAGGGTCCCCCCAATGGGCACGGCTTGTTGGAGGGGTGCCAGGCCTTTCAGACAGCCCTGTCGTGATTTATGTGCTGCAGGGGGCCAAGTGAAGACTCTTATGCACAGGCTGAGGCTGGCTGGACGTTTGACTTTGATGCTTTCACGGACCGTAGATATGTTGGGTCCAGCAGCTTTGCCACGGTGCGCCCTGCGGTTACTGCCAACGGTAGCTGTGAACACGTGTATGCCTCCTAGCAATGTTTTTCACCATTTTCAGGTGTTTGCCGCTTCACACAATGGCACCACATATGCGGTCAAGGTGCTGACAGGGCTGGACAATTTGGCAGCAAAACTGGCGGCAATGTCGCTGGACAATCAGTTGTTGCATCGTTTCGAGCAGGTGGGTGGCTCGCGCTAGCGTTGCGGTGGACAACTGCAATTCGCAAGCACTCGATGTTGGCCCGCCCGCTGCAGGAGGCTGCGCTGTTGGCAGACCTGCGTCACGACAACATCCTGGCGATCCGGGGCATCTGCATCCAGCCGCGGGCTATCGTCACAGGTGGGATGGGGAGAGCCGTAGGCGGCTGTCGGTGGGGTCATCCAGCAGCCCAACACCCTCCCGAACGTCTGCTCCTGAAACACGGTTGGGTGCCAACCTAGTTCACTTGCAGAATACTGCCCTCGTGGCTCCCCTTTTGACGCGCTACGACGCGGCTGCCAGGACCCCGAGGCGGCTGCAGAGCTGACGTGGCGGCGGCGCCTGGCATTTGTGAGCCGATTTGGGCGTAGGTGCATGTGTTTCCACAGCTCAAACGTGGTGCTGGTGCCTATATCCTTCTCGCGCATGCCCTTCCCCGCAGGCCCTCGGCGCAGCAAAGGACATGCTGCATCTGCACACCCGCGAGCCGCCAGTCACATATCATGACCTGAGGAGCGCCAACCTGTTGATTGACGACAGCTGGAGCGCCAAAGTGAGTGACAATACCGTTGTTGTGTTTGGGTTTTCCGTCACACCCCTGAAGCTTTGCAGGTATAGTATGTTCCCACCCACTTTGGCCAATCGTGGCAGGTGACAGACATTGGGTTGAGCCACCTGCTGGATGATCCAGCATCAGCGACGGCAGCCCTCACCCAGAGCCATGTGGACCCCAACCCGCGCTGGCTGGTGCGCATGGCTTTTGGCCTGGATGTTTCACTTGCGTTCCACTTTTTGCTTTTACTGCTTTGCCTGACTGGTTTAATGTTGTGGCGGCTGGACTCCCCCAACCGCCCCTTGCAGGCTCCCGAGGTCATCAGCCGGTGGGAGGAGACAGGCGTATACCTGCCGCAGGGATCAACCGCGGCAGGTATGCCGTGTGCTGATCATGCATTTGCTGCGCTGATGGGATATACTGATTTCGTGCGATAAATGCTTTCCCCTGCATCCCCATTGCAGACGTGTACGCGTTTGGCATAGTTCTGTGGGAGCTGCTCACATGGCAGCTGCCTTTTGGCACGGCACTGGTATTCATTCATTAATTCATTCATTCAGCACACAGACCGGCCGCCTCTTGCTCGAGGGCGGCCCACTTTGGCCTGGGCAGCCCGGGCCGCCCTCCCCCCCGGGCGCATGTTCGGTGTTGGAGGGGTGTGCCCAGCGATAGGGGGCCCCTGAAGGCATGCGCCGAGGCCGGGAAGCGTGGTTCGGCGCTGCTGCACGCTTGGCGATTTGAACAGAACCACGTGCCGCCGAGCTGCGGCCGCAGTTTCCGGCCCACGGTCTACGGTCGCAGCCACGGGACTCGGCGGCACGGCGTTTGGGCCCAAGCTTGCTGCCGCCGCCGCCGCCGTGCCCGGGGGGCAGCGCGGCGGCGGCGGCACGCTGCGACGCCCCCGTGCTGCCGAGCTGCGGCCGTAGTTTCCTGCCAGAAGGCCACAGCCACGGGACTCGGCGGCACGGCGTTTGGGTCCACGGCTTGCTGCCGCTGCCGCCGCCGCAGGGGTGCTGCCTGCGGCGGCGGCGGTAGCGCACGTGGCAACCCCCCGCGTTTCCTTGCCTCCCATCCACCGGACCCCGTCCTGCGCTTCACTTTGTTTAGGGAGGGGCTGCTCACTGCTCATTGCTCATTGCTCATCGCACACTGCTCAACGCTCATTGCCCTATATCCCACCCAGCCGCAGGACTCCACTGCCGCCCGCGCCCCGCCCCATCTGGCCGCTTGCGCGCCCCATCCCCCCTCGATGGGGCCCGCCCACACCGGGGCCTCCCCCCTCCCGCCCACTGCTTTCTCAACGGCCCCGAGCCGGGGCTGCCCTCATTGCATACATAGTGCGCCTTTCCCTGCTTTTCTAGTGACCTAGCGTTCCGCACTGCCGTTTGGCCAGCCCATGCTCCCGTACCGTTGCGTTTCTCCCCAATGCGCCATGCCACTTTGCCAGTCATACACACGTTTCGATGCGTGCCCTGTCAGCTGCTTGCGTTGCATGTCGCCTTGCTCCACCCCTGTTTTATTGCTTTCTCTGCTTTCGCCCGGTTCCCGTCCCGTTTCGGCGGGGAGTCTATGTTGCAAGCTAGTTCTTGCTTTACCAGACTTTAAGCCCACACAAGCAACAAGCAAGTATGGAAGGTACGGCCCCAACATGCTGTGAAACTGTGACCCTTGAAACATGCTGTGCTTCTGCTTAAGTGCTTCCACATGTGAGTTTCCCACACTTCTCCTCTGCAGTTGTACCCACGCATTATGGCCGGGGAGAGACCAACAGTGCCCCCGCTTGACCAGCTGCCAGGCCCTAGCACAGCTGGCTTTGCTGGGCTGGATGCCTATCTGCAGCTGATGAGGTGTGCCGGATGAGCAGGAACTTTGCGCTGTTACTGCTGCTGGCCAAGGGCCGCTGCCGCCATGGTGGCAACCTTACTACTCTTGCTGCTTGCTTGCTGCTTGCTTGCTGCTTGCTTGCCCAAACACTTCGACATGTCACCATGCAGGGCATGCTGGGACCAGGATGTTGCCCACCGGCCCAGCTTTCAGCACATCGTTGACGACTTGTGGTGCGTATGCTTGATGGTTGGGTAAGTGTGAGAGAAATCATTGTTTCGATAAGTTATCCCACTCATAATGAAATTGTGAAAGCGAATCGGTGCTGCAGCTCCCTCCTCATTGTTGCCACATGCTGCTACCTGCTTCCGCAGGTCGCTCCTTGTAAATGTGCCGCATGAGGCTCCTCACCAGCAGCCTGGCGCTCAGCAGGGTGGTGAATGTTGTGCGTGCATGGAGGCGATTGAGATGCGCATGGCGCTGGTGCCCTGCGGCCACTCTGTGTTGTGTCCAGGGTGCACTGCGAGGGCGCGGACATGCCCTATATGCCGTGCCCATGTTGAGCATCGCATGCGCATCTTCATGTGAAGGCGCCATCACCCTGCTGCCGCTGCTGCGCCCGCCCGTGTACGTGGCTTGGCTTTTTCCGAGGGCCACAATTGCTGTGTCCCCCCTCCACCGATGTCGCCGCAGCCGCCCACCCCATCCAAATATTCTCCGCAATTTTTTGTGACAATTGTGACAAATTCTTGTGTAACAAATTTACGACATTGCCTAAGCAGAAAGTCCAACTATAGCCAGAGCCTTCTCACCTTTTGACGCATGTGCTTGGGTCCCACTCTGCGTAATCCACGCACTCGTCCTCGGGCTTGCACCAAAGGCAGGCCGCCGGGTCGGCCGCACTATGGGCAGCCCGCGGGGCATGAAATGCGGGTGCCGCTCGCGACCACCCACCTGATTCCGTCGGCCATTATAGCCACCGCCGACACAAGCCAATGTTGCTGCAGGTGCTGTCTACATGCATTTTGCAACTAAAAATCCCCAGCTGCGTGTGGCGCACACACTTCCAGGACCTTTCCTGCATGGCCTGATGAGCAATGTTTACAGTGCCCGCATGCACTGCACAAGAGGGGGCTCCGCGGAGCGCCGTCTCGCTGTCCAGCCGTCGGGTCAGATGTACAGCGAGGCGGCAAAGATGATGTCCCGCCGGATCGTGTCCCGGCTGGCCCCAAACTTGGCCGCCAGCTCCTTCTCCCCCACCACCGCCGCCGCAGCCTCCAGCTGCTGCATCAGCTCGTCCAGGCGCCGAGTTGCCCTGCGTGCGCGGGGCAGCAGGGGCGCGGAAGAGGCGCAGGCTGGGCGGGCGGGGTGCGGCCCGGCGAGGTGCGGCCCGGCAAAGGATGCATGCTGCCTGCAGCCCAATACGAAATGGTGACACCACAATTCTGGCTGCTGGTCAACGCCACGACGTGGTCCAAGCAGCGCCCAGCGATGGGTGCTGGTCAGCGCGGCATGCCCAGGAGGTCACACCCTGCCGCCTGCCCACACACGCCATCCCACCTGATGATGCGCCCCCGCAGGTGGCTAGGTGGCTAGAGCAACACCCGACCACTCGCGCACACATGCACTTCACACACACACACACACCTGATGATGCTGCCCTCGAAGATGTCGGTCATGCCGCACACCTCCCCAAACGAAGCCCCCTTGCTCCATCCATAAATCACATCCATCAGGCTCGGCCGGAAGCTCTCCACATACTCATCTGCAGCAGCATCGGGAGGGCGCAGGCGCGGGGGCAGCGGAGGGCGGGTGTGGGCGCGCGCCAAGGACAGCGGCGCGGGCCAGGCCGCCGCTGCCGGCAGCAGGGGAGGCGGCACGGGCAGCGGGCAGGGCGGCGGCGGCACAGGAGCACGCACCACATCGCACCGCACCACATCAGACCCCACTGCCGGCCCTCAGTGCCCCAGGCTGTGCAGCCTGAGACTGCGCCCGCCTGCTTTGATCCGCATCCTGCCCTGCAATCTCCTCCCTCGCACCTCCCTTCCACCTCCCGGCCACTGACAACCACCTCCACCACCACCCACCATCTCCTGCCTACCTGCACCACACAAACGCTCTCCACACAACCCCTTACACCTGCATGCACCAGCACCCACCACCCACAACCTCCTGCCCACCTGCATCCACCTCCAGCCCACACTCGTTAGAAACCTCGGCGATGTGGCGCGCCACCGCCTGCAGCTGGCCCAGCGGCGCCGCCATCTGCGCCGACAGCTTCACCTTCTCCTGCAGCGCCAGGCAGGTGTGTGGGTGGGTGGCAGGTGGTGGTAGTGGTGGTGGTGGTGGTGGTGGTGTGTGTGTGTGTGTGTGTCACCAGGCCATCAGGTGGCTCACAGCGTGGGGCAGCAGGCCGGCGGCCAGGTGTCCCCTCCCACACCCAAGCGCGAAATGTTTCTTTCTTTCTTTGTTTCTTTCTGGCATTCTTTCTTTTCTGTATTTTTCGGTCAACTCACGTTGGTGCGGTCAACGGGGACCAGGCAGGAGACCAGGGCCACCAGCTGGTGCTTGTCCAGCCCGCCAAAGGTGCCGTTGACCAGCAGCTCGGCGGTCAGCAGCTCGTCTGCAGGCGGAAAGCAGCGGTGGAAAGCATGGCCGGCGGCGCGGAGCCAGCGTGAGCCCGCCCGGCGGCGGCGTGCGCTCCAGCGCAGCGCATCGCTCCTGCCGCGGCGCACACCCGCACCAGCAGGCAGTCCCTGCCAACGCCAGCTCTTATAAACACACCCCCAAGCCGCCTGCTTTGGGTTTCTCAGCGGCCTACCCGCGGCATCGATCTCGCAGGCTACCCGCCCCTTGGGCTGCACCATGCCCCCGGCATCAATGAAGCCCAGCTTGCGCAGCACGGCGCTGCGCTGGCGGCTCTCCAGCTTGAAGCTGCAGGGCGGCGGAGGCGGCGGCAGCGGGGGCATGCGGTTTAGGGAAAAGCCTGTGCTGCAAGCCTGTTCTGTCTGAAACCAGACTGTAAGCCCACACAAGCAAGGGACGCGCGCACGGCGGGCCTGCCAGGAGGCGGCACCAAAGAGCCACATGGCGGGAGGAGGGACACAGGTCCTTGACCTGGTCCTCCCAGTATGCTGCGACCTGTGGCAGATGAACCCACGGTCGCTGGCCCCCACACCCAGGGCAGGCACCCACCTGCTCCCCACACCAGCGCGCCACCACCAACCTACCTGCTCCGCCGGCTCTCCCACGCTCCTGCGCGCTTCCCTCCCAGGGCAGCACCCACCTGCTGAGCTGGCTCTCCCGCATGCGCCGCTTGATGCCCGCCGCCTCCTGGCTCAGCTCCGACTTGCGCCGCAGGGCCTCTATCTGCGAGGGGTCGCCGCCGCCCTGCTCCACCTGTAAGCAGGCGCAGGCAGCACCGTCTTGGGGTAGCGTTGCACACTGATGTGACGATGTGACGAAGCTTGGCGCTGATCGGGGCAGCTGCGGGTTGGTCGCGGCACCGGGCGGCAGCTGCCGGCGTGCTGGGCCAGCGCAGCGGCCAGCTGGCGCAAGGAGCTCAGGCAGGCAGGCAGGCAGCCCCGGC